TGGCTGCATTCTGGGAGTCTGCATAATGACTATTTTACCATAATATAATTGAATAGTAAGTGTTCGTTAAGATAGTCTTGGAAGAATTCCCAGTTTCACTGCAGGAAAGGAGACGTTTATATCTTGAGCTTTTGTTTAATTTGTGGAATCATACTCGTGGTTATTTACACAGCTCTATTCTTTTTTCTGGCTGAGACTCAATGAAATCTACAACTACGGAGCCGTCTTGTCATGTTTCCACACGGTTTTCCAACCTGTGGATGCCGTACCTCCCTTTGTAACATTTGTCCTGGTGTACCTCTCCCTCTTACAGCTAGAGGTCCATAAAATTTTATGGCTGACAGTGCTGGTCTCCTTAACTTCCTGTCGGCTACTTTAAGAGTGTCGTGATTCCCTGGGAGTGGCCTCTAGTGATGTCATAGCCTCCCCTCATGAGGGTGAGCTGTCAGGAAGAGGATTCCATGAAAGGCCGTGGGTGTGAGGAGATATCTGCAGCAGAGTGGGGGGAGTGTTTTCAGTAAAAGCTGTGGAAGTTTTCTAGAACCTTCCCTGGAATGGCTGGCCGCAGGTGCACTCCAGGTGTGCTACAGTGTTTATGAAGTGAGTCATGTGTGAACTGGAGACCAGGACTCCTTTGTGTTTCAGGTACCCCTCAGATGGCAGGTTTCACACTGTTTCCTCCTGTCCTGTGTTAAGAATTTGAGAGAGCGGATGAAGCACATAAGTTTATCTGTGGTATTTGTCCGCCATTCCACTCCTTTTGTGGACTCCTTATTGAGTGGCACACAGCGGTGCAGAAGGAAGCCTCCCCCTCCTCCTCGTGTCTGCTTACCTTAGGAGAGCCACAATGGTCTCCGTATCGATGGTGGTGGTGACATCTTAACCCTTCTGCAATTTCAAGGTTAACCAATCCAGAATCCTCAGAAGAGGTAAAAGCAGGCTAGGGAGCTGCCCATCAAGGTGCTCAGTGGGGCAGGAAGCAGCAGGTATCTCTCGCTTCCTCTCATGGAGATTAGCAAAGAGCTGGTGCTGTGTGCTTGCTGCTGAAGGCACTGGAAGACAGAGCAATGAGAAACACTTTACTTTCTCAGCGTGTCTCTCGTGGGCGTTGATGAGGAGATGTGGAAATGTGCAGAACAGAAATCATCGGTATGATCAAATCTGGTATGTACTGAACATACTCTGTCCTTGACACTCATTGCAAAGAGCATGGCCTGGGTCTTGGTGTGTGTGTGTGTGTGTACGTGTGCGTGTGCGCGCGCGCTCTCTCACAAGGATGACCCCGTCAGGGGTCTGAATTATGACTCCCTTTAATACAAGACAGCCATTCACCTGTTCCCAGTGAGTGTGTCCTGGCCCTCTGCTTCCAGTTTCTACCCCATCCAATTTCTAGAACTTATCTCATCTGTTCAGATAGATTTCCCAGGCTTGTGCTGAGACTTCATGCATGGAAGAAAAGAGAGTGCTGTCTGGAGGTGAACAACTCGGCCATCCAAAAGGGCACAGTTGACCTGACCAAGCTTTTGATAAGGGTCGAATCACTCATGTCTTCTCTCTCTCTCTCTCTCTCTCTCTCTCTCTCTCTCTCTCTTTCTCAGTGCTTCCATTTGTAAAATGCTGATCATATATTCTCAGATTTTTCTTGAAGATTAAATAAGATAATTTTTTTTTAAATCCTCACACCCTTTCTAAAATATTGTAAGATTTACTAGAGTTAACAGAAATTCCCAGAGTGGCAAGGCCCAGAGCCACACTTCCTGTAACTTGTCTTCATGTACTTCTGTTAGTTATTTTTCTTGTTGCTGCGACAAAACACCTGGGGAGTATCTTAAGGAACAACAGATCATTTTAGCTCACGGTTTGAGGTGACAGCCATCATGGTGAGGAAGGCTCGGGGGGAGGGGCGAGGAGCATGAGGCAGCTAGTCACATTTCTCTATGGTCAGGAAGCAGAGAGTAAGGAGTACATTTCTCCTTTCCACTGGCTCGAAGGCCCTGGCCATCGATGGGTGCTGCCCATCTTCAGGGTGGATCTTCCCGTCTTAAGCCAACCTTCCGGGAAATAACCTGTGCAGACACGGCCAGAGGTGTTGTTCCATGGTGACCCTACATCCAGTCAGGTTTGACCGTGAAAATTAACTATCATGGGTTGTTTTCTCCCTAAACAGACTATGCAGTCCATACTCCTTTATGCTTTCAACCTTGACCACCAGAGAACCTTCTTTTCCTTTTTTGCAAGGAGACTCATAACTGGTCAAAGTGCCAGGTGTAAATAACACTGAGTGCTGAGTTTCTCACGGGTCATCTACGTCAACATCTCGACATGAAACTATGCAGACTGGGGAGGAGGCAAAAGAATGCAGCGGTCAAGGGGGTGGGGGAGTTAAGCTGGGAGATGATGGCTTCTGGATGCGCATAGTTACGGAACACATCAGCCCCCAGCAGCTGTGTTCTATCTCCACATGATCTGCATAAGATCAAGCCAGTTAACACTCCATCATGGATGGGGAAGGACACATGAGAAGCCCCTCCTAGCTGGGGAGCTATTGGTAACTGCTGAGAAGGAAACATCAATTTTCTTCAGGGATGTGGGCGCCACACCCATGTGCCTATGGGTAGCATTAATTGGAGCCAGTGAGTTACTTTTAATAGGACACTCAGAAGTACTGGGGGATAAGGGTGTTGGCTTGGGAGTGGAGGGGGGTTAAGATCAAGACAGGTAAAAAACACACTGTATGCATGTATGACATTTGCAAAGACTAAATTTTAAAGATTATATTTTTTAGAAGTATAACTTTGATGCATAGTAGAATGAGGACACTGAATTTAAAATAGCTTAAAACCAGTCAGTATATTCCTTTCTCTTGGCTCTATATGTTATATATAATATATTCATATATAATTATTATTTTTTATTCATTTGTTCAATAAATATTTAGACCTCCAGGCACCGTACCTTTGGCCTTCATCAGACTTTATATCTCTTGGAGAAGCTAGCCCTCAGGGTTTGGAGAGTCAGATGGCTTTCTGGAGGGAGGGTTCCCCAAGAGGAGATGGATCTGGTGGATAGAGCCTGCCATGGGTGGAATTGGCATGTCATGTATGAGGGTCTGGAAGAAGAAGAAATTCTGGTCTGGAGAACTGAGTTCCATAAGACTGGACTCTTCAATCCCAGGATAATACAGGAATAAGACAGAGCTGGACAGGAAATCGGGGGCCATATTACCTGCTTTTTTAAGATGTCTCTGTGCACAAAAATCAGAAGAATGCTGTGTTCTTACCCCTGTAAGTGAATAATAGACTACTAAAGTCAGAGAAGCCTGAGCTATTGTAAGACACTTTTCACAGTACAAATGAGACCCTAATTTCTTCTGAGTGGTCATGAAGAACACCAGATCTACTCAAACATGCATGCCAAATTCTCCCAGCAGCCTCAAACCATTAAAGTGAACGTGATAGCAATTTTATATCCATCACTCAGATTTCTGACTGTTCAAGAATCTACGTGCTTAATGTGATTGAAACATTGACTACAAGTAACTTTTTAATGGGCGATGCTAAATTATCTGTTTATAAGAGGACTAAAACCTTTCAAAACTTAACTGAATTAAAATATTCAGAATGTTATCTAAGAATAATTCTACACAATGAATAAGATAAGTTTACTATTGAACTATAAATTGTCTTTTAGCCTTCATGTCTGTTTTTTTTT